AGGAACTTCTGCAGAACGATGACAGCGTCACTGTCATCGCCACCTGGTTTGCATAATATGCTGCATATGATATGTTCATCATATGCAACCGCAGCTGCAATGATGCCGCAAGCGTTCAGGCCACTGATCACGTGTTGGCCTGCCTTGTGGCAGCTGCAAGGTGAGCAGCACAAGTACACTTAAACAAAATGCAAGTCAGTTCGACCGTCAGACCATTTTCCGTCATTTTCTTCCTCACAGGTCAGTGTACTCTTGGGACATTGTCGTTTCAAAGGCCCTGTGTCACTGTGTCACTCACATTTGTTGACTTTGTGGACGGAAGAGGAGGGGCGACCACCGGGCCAAGCGTGGGTGTCAATCGAGCGAAGTCACCCCGAGGTGGCAAACAAGCTGATTTTTGACAAAAGAGATGGCTCGCAGATCGATTTCCTGACAGCCGCTTGAAAAGAAACAACTCAGAGCTATTCCTGAGATCAAACATTTCACAGTTGGCATTGTTTCAGGTCAATGAAACTGCACAGGATCCTCCCAATGCAGATGATAAGGAGAGTGACACATGCACACACACGATGCGAGCTCCAGTAGATGCTAGATGTATCTTGATGTGATCCTCTTTGCAGGAAAGCATGAATGGCCCTGTGAAGCTGGGTCAGGTGAGGCCTTTCGATTGGCCAGTTTAGGAGGTGCCATGTGCGACCGGTTCCGAGGAAGCTTCTTGCATCAACCAGAACTTCTCCCAGATGGTCCTTGACCCCGAGGCTTGTAGACCACTGTGGCCGAAGGAATCTTGTTTCCTAGTCATCAGGAGCCCGTGGACGAAATGCAGCACGCAAATCCTTTCGAGGATGAGGAGAGAAAGAAAGGGGTTGAGTGAAGCAGACAAGGGATTGAACAATCACAAGCAATGCAAACAAGTAGTCTTTGGTCTTTGAGTTAAGCATTCTTTCATTTCTTGAACACTTTTCTCATTTTTTCTCCCTTGCAGGAAAACCAAGGCTGCGTGGCATCTGGTGCCTACAGATATAGGAAGATCACGCTGCCTGGCAACCCCAAGGCTCTGCTGCACCTGATGGCGATCCCTTGAAAATTGTTTTTGATCATCTATGGTTGAGAGCTGAGTAGTAGTGCTTTAGGCTTTAGGTAGTGCTAGTTGCCCCTTACAACTACTGACAGGAAGGCATTCATTGTTTTAAGATGTATGGAACACCGAACCACTTACAATCACTAACAAGATAGGATTTGTTTGTATGGAGGAGTGACAGGGCGGCTTTGAGTAGATGTCTTGTTGGAGGCACCCACTGAGTTCGAGCAGAACCCAGTCAAGCTAGTGGTCCGTGACCGCCTGAGAATCTGTGCTTGAAAGTGCTTGAGAGCTAGGCTATTCACTAGCACTCAAGGTACAGAGGTGAACTGCAAGCTACCAGGGAGCACGGAGCTTGCTTCTGTCAAGGTCGGAAAACAGTTTGCAAAGATAGCCTGCGCTGGTGTGGTTGTTTTGTGGCCAGGCGATGCATGAGTATGAGCCCAAACCCAACTACAACTGGCGCTCCCACCTGGCCTTGATCTCAGCTGTCGCGATGGCAGATCAATAAGCAATATTCAGACACTTTAGTCGCATCAGTTTGCACACCATGTTGTAGTTCCTTGCGTTGAAAGCTCTTCGGGAAGTCGCATTGGTTTTCATTATTCCATGCGGTTTGAGAGCTTTCGAGGACAAGCAACATACACATGATCATGCTGCTGCTGGTTTGCTGCTGCTTCTCTGCTGCTTGTTTGCTCCTTTTCTCGCGGACTAGCAAGTCACCTGATGTGACTAAAGTTGGTGAAAGTACTGGTTGCAAGCTGCCCTGTGGAGAGAGTGGGCCCAGTGGGCATTACATATCAACAGAAGAACAAAAACTCAAACCTGGGCTCATCAGACTAGCGTCCTTGCTCCTAGTAGCGATGCCAGGTGCCCCTAGTAGCGAACATTGCTCCTAGTAGTACGGCCAGGAGCCCCTAGTAGCGTTCTTGTTACTACTAGTAAGGCACTTGTCACGAAAGGTAGCCCTTTAGGGGATACCTTGAGTTTGTCTTGCGAAGCAAATGTTGGGACGTCCGGGTCTAATAATTGATCATTCAATTCAACCCCCCCCCCCCCCCCCCCTCCCCTTCGAATTGATTTTTCAATACAGACCCCCCCCCCGCCCCCTTGGAATTGATTTTTCAATACAGACCCCCCCCCCTCTAAATTCAATTCTCTCCTGGAGAACGTCTTCGTGAGCCTCTCATGACTTCAGGATAGTTGAAACCCGCTTGAACATTCAGAAAGAGTGCATAATCACGAAAGGTGTTCCCCGAGGGGATACATACCTAGAGTTTGTTTTGTGAAGCACGTCAATTCTCTCCTGGGGAACGTCTTCGTGAGCCTCTTATGGTTTCAGGATAGTTCAAATCCTATGATGCTCCGATTCAATGCTCACCGATGATCTGAGCCATGGGGCAAGTTTCTTTTCCTCAGGATCTTTTTGAACATTTCGAGAGCATATGTTTGAACATTTAGAGTGCGTATGAACATATATTTACGACAGGTCGCCTCCGAGGGGATAAATCACCATGTCGAACATTGCATGTTTGTTCCTGCCTCTCGCGTTCTCTTCTCTTCCCGCTGTCCTACCTTTCGTGTCTCCCTCCTCTCAAGTTCCTAGTAGCGTCCTTGCTCCTTCTTTCAGTTTCTATATCTTTTGCTGACGGCCAAATCCTGTCCTGTGCTGATACTACCAACATGCTGCCAAGGAATCACAGCGAGGCATCCCCGAGAGCAGTTTGATGGATATTGCGAACTCAATGCGTTGGACTTTTTGATTCTTTGTTCATTTGTTTGTAGCCACAAGGACACAAGTTCTCGCCGATGAAGCCGAAACCCACTGACACTTGACAGCATTGCAGCATTGCAGGTGCATGCCTGGCAACTGAGCTGAAGAACAATGCCTTCAAGCTCGGCAGGTGGACGGCACAGGCAGATGTAAATGCAATAGGCTGCAAAGTTCCATCAGATGACATTCAAGACCGTGAAGGGGCTGGTGATGTGGTCGATAATGTTGCCGCGTATTGACTTTGGAGCTCGACATTGCAATGAGCATGCCTCCCCCCTGCAGGCCATTCTTGCCGGATGTGACACCATCAAGATTGGCTATGTGTCCGAAGCTTTACTTATATACGTGTTTGGTTTCAGCAGTTGCTGGACATAGGGACACAGTATGATCAGCTCTCCATGGCTCATGGCAGTCGAATGGCCAAAGGGATTGACAGCTACCTGGCAGTCTTTGAAGATGTGGTCAGTGTAGAGGATGCAAAAGCATAATATGAGGAAGTGCGCGTGTGGCAATCACATAAATTCATTCTTGAGATTTTCGATCGTGGTCCGCTGCACACATTTTTCACAATAATTGTAGAGTTCTTTCTTAACCTTTCCCTTTTGTACGGATTTGTAGAGCTCGCTTCCAGCCCAAGCAGCAAGACTTAGGTCACGCCAGCATCCCAAGGATCCATGGTCCCATTCTCTTCTGGGAGTCCAAACCTACACCACTAGCAGCTTTGCGGAGCAGATTGGCCTCACAAGGAATAACATGTTGCTTGCTTGCAAGTCTTGCCAGTCCAGCAGTCAGCAACAGCTGAGTCCTTTCCTCCAGCGTAAGGTTTGGCATCATTAGGAACATCGTCGACTTGATCATGGGCACCTTGCCTGCTGTGAGCCGATTGCAGAACAGCAATTGTTGTTTTGTTTGGAGCCTGTAAGGTTGGGAAGATGGAAAGTACCTCTTGCTGAAGGCCTGCGTCGCCTGCTTTTGGAGATGCTCCATGCAGAGTTTGGCCACACATTTGCGCAGAGCACATATGAGCATGGGAGCAGCTAAGATAGCTAAGCGGGCAGGACCCAACCAAGTCCGTTTTGCGCATCCACGAGGCATGGCAGCATGGCATAGTTGACTTGGGCTTTGCATGCGAGTCTGTATCAGGAGCACAAGCTGAATAGAAAGACTCCTAGGTTGCAGACTTGGTTTTCTTAGTGCATGTTTGTGTTTTCTTTTGTAGGTGCCCTGGGACACCTTCCAAGATGACGATGAAGATGAAGAGGCGGATGAAGAAGAGGACAGCTGTACTATCTGTGCCAAGCCGGGCACGCGATGGTTGGAGTGCCACCTCAATAATCTCAACAAAGCTTGAATCTAAAGCAGCAACAGCAAGCAAAATGACGATACATCATCAAGATTCAAGTGAAATGACACGTGATGAAAAGTAAACAACAACTCTCAAAGCTGATGTGGAGGAGGAACAAGAGCTTGATGAGGATGGCAATGTGGTTCCCCACCAGGCAAGCTAGGCGAGGACCTTTGCATGCTAACTGGTGCTGTTAAGCGTTCCATATCGTTGATCTGAGCAGCTGAGCACCTACTTGTTCCTAGTAGCGAACATTGCTCCTAGTAGTATGGCCAGGAGCCCCTAGTACCGTCCTTGCTCCTAGTAGCGATGCACTTGTTCCTAGTAGCGTCCTGTGAATCTTGAATGACTTGATTGTTAACTTGCCTTGGACTTGCCACCAAGGTTTGTCCCTGCTCACGGCCAATCCTGGACTGAATGCAGCTCATACGGTATAAATACCTTCTAAGCAGCTGATTGACCAGGACGGCACCAGGAGATAGATCCCATCAGCCATTTAGGCAATTTCTTGGATGACATACCAACTATTTTGGGACAACCTTCGCATATTTAGTGGTCGTACAGGCTGTCAGAGGATCTGCACTTGTTCAAAACTTGTTGATTCCTGGAGCCAAATTGACATGTTGTGCAGAGCAAAAAAAGAATCGCTTTGTCGGGAGTTCTTTGCAAGATTGCGTTTTGATGCTTTCATATGCTTTCAGTGTTTGTTTTGCCTTGCATGCAGCAAAGCTGCTGAAGCTGAACAGTGCCAGTGCGAGAGTAAGTATGCTTGACTAGCATGGCCATGTTTAGTCTTGCAGGTGGGAGACGATGGTGCCACTCACATAGCAAACGCTCTGGAAGTAGCTGCAAGTGAAAAGATGCACACAATTGATGTCAGCAGGGAGCCCAGAGGATCTTCACGAGTTCCTTTGATGTTATCAAGTTATCACTTGAACTATGAGGTGGCAACAGGATCTCTGATTTCGGAATGATTCAGTTGAGCAAGGCCATTCAACATGTCTACAGCAATGCGAAAAAGCTGACTAACCGGAACACCAACGCATTCTCGCGGAAAGAAAGCTTTCTCTCAGCCTGACTCAACTTGCAAAGAAACACTGATAAAGGCCTTGCTGATGGCGAGCAAAATGCGGATCCTGGATCTTTCAGGGAACAAATTCGGGGACCAGGCCTGTGGTTACGGTTTGCACATGAGTTTATATACATTGTGCACAGTGCTAAAGGTCGGCACTCACGTTTCTACAAAAATGAGCAATTTGCATGTTCCTTGAAAAAACGATACCAATCCCAAAAACGATACCACACATCTTGGAATCTATCTTTGCCTATTAACACTGTTGACACTCGAGGCAGTGTATGTCCAAGGTTCTTTTTTGCATATGGTTTGCCATGCTAGTTGGACATTCCAGTTTGTTTTTGCTCATGTTCCCTTCTCTTTCTTTGTTTAAACAATTATGGGTTTAGACCGATACCAAAAAACGATACCCACTTCATAGGTCTCCCCTCAGAAACCACCTGCCCACTCACATGCCGCCACTACTACTGCCACTACTTCTACTTACTTCTGCTACTACTTCTAGCACCACCGCCACCACCACCACCACCGCTACTACTACTACTACGACTACTACGACTACTACTACTACTACCACCTACTTACTACTTACTACTTACTACTTACTACTTACTACTTACTACCTACTACTACTACTACGACTACGACTACGACGACTACTACTACTACCACCTACTTACTACTTACTACTTACTATCACTACTTACTACTTACTACTTGCTACTACTTACTACTACTTACTACTACTTACTACTACTTACTACTAACTACTTACTACTAACTACTACTTACTACTTACTACTTACTACTAGTATAGTTCTAGTACTAGTACGACGACGACGATGACTACTACCAGTCATCATTTGGAAGATCACCTTCCAGATAAATTTACGTTTAGACGATACCTCCCCAAAAAATTGCATATGGATTGAACAACGATACCAATCCCAAAAAAGATACCTGCCTTAAAACTTCCCACCAAACGACCCCTAGTTTTGCCGGTTGCACGACATGTTTCTCAACGGAATAGCTTTCTTTCTATTATGTTATTTTTCCTGAATCCAGCGATTGAAAGTTAAGTGTCAGGCATAAATTATATCCTTTAAGAAGAAGCAACAGCCATATTTGTGAACTTGTGAACAAGCTACATTATTGGTGTTGTGATTTGCAGGCAACCGAAGAGTTGGCAAAGGCCAGGGCGGAATGAAGACTTTGGCAAAACCGTTCTTTCCGAGACCGGCGAGACCTCGGGCAGCGATGTTTGGGCTTCAAAAGACGCACGCAAATGACACTTGTTACGTTGCTGTTGGTGCTGGCCAGGCATTGCCCCCGAATTTGGAGGAGCTTGACTTGACAGGCAAAGGGACAGTTGAAGTTCCAAAGTGGGCCACTTTGGAAAACGAGTCAAGAACCATTAGGCAATCAGATTGGGCCTGACGGAATCAAAGCTTTGGCCTCTGTGGCCACAGGCTTAGGTTTAGTTTGGGCGTTCCTTCAAGGCAGGACATTTTCCAGGGTCACCTGAGCTCCAAGATTGAAGATACGAGTTTGACAATTTCCAAGGTCAAGCATCACCCACTCAAGGAGCTGAAAGCAGAAATCGGTCTAAGTGCTGCCTGGACCTGCAACGTGCAAGGAGCTCTCCATTGGTGAGAACCACACAGGCGACACAGCTGCAACATACATTGCAGAGGCCTTTGGGGAGGCTGGATGCACAGACAGTGCTGCAATTGCTCAGGCTGTAGCAGTTGTAGCCTGTCCAATGCCTTGCCCCATGGGGCTCAAGCCAATGCCACTGCCACTTAAGAAAAAAGCTGAAACTTTATGCTGTCCAAGCAACCAACCACCCCACGCAAACGAGCGTAATCACATGGATTTACAGTAGATAGAGATGTGCTTCCCTTTTCACACTCCTTGATCCCTGTTGACAACTCTCGCAGGGCTGTGGTTTGGTGGCGCTCCACTTCACCTGGTCTGATCTCACGGATCATGCTGCGAGCTGTTTTGCCCAACACCTTTGCAACCAACCCAAACTCAGGCAAGAAAAGCTGTAATGAGCAACACGAAGACAGCTGAGCGCTTCTTCAGTTTCTGCTTTGCAAGGGAACTTTGGCTCACAAACAATAAGATCCAAGATGTTTGGATCTCAGATTTCTGTATGCATTCTTCTCAATGATGCAACTCCTGCAGCGAAGAACCTAAGAAACATATCCACTGATCTCCAATATTTTTAAAATAATGGCTGCACAACCCTTTCTGGTGCAGGCAAGACGCAAATTGACCACTTGAGTCACCTTAGGCTGGAGCGCTTGAGCTGTGCAAAGCCACGGAGGAGCATGGCCAACTGAGGCAGCGATTTCTTCAGCGGTTGACTTTGATCTAGAAAATCATTGAAACTGCACGCTGAATACTTTCAGGATGCTTGCGCCAGCACCTTAATCCGGCAATGTGGCCGAAGCCAGTGTCAATCAAGATGATCTTGCAGTACTAGCAGAGAGGAGCTACTGCTAGTAAGGCCATGTAAGGCCCTTTCCTACTAGTAGCTTCTTGTTACTAGTAGCGATGCACCTTGTTACTAGTAGCTTGTTGTTTGCTTAAGCAAGTGGACTCCTGTGCAATGTTGAAAAATCAAAGGCTGGACAAGAACAAGATTACTGACGTTGCAAGCATCGAATTTGTCGGAAGCCTCGGCAAGCCAAGGTTTTGCTTAAGTTTTCCTAAAACTCTAGGAACCAAATCATTAGCGCGAGCGTGAGCTATCCTGCGTCCAGTTCCTAGAAGCGTCCCGCTTAATAAACTTAATAGCTACTAAGTAGCTACCTCTCTTCTACTAGCTACCTGGCGGCCTACCTGGGCTTCAAAAGAAAACACTTTCGTTCAAAGCCTTGCAAGTCTGTTTTGGAATACTTCGGCCCAAGGTCGATGCGCTTGTTCGCTTGAACAAGAAGGCTGGTTCTTCTACTAGTAGCTACTAGTAGCTTCTTGCTAGTAATGCACTTGTTCCTAATAGCGATGCCCGATGCCCTTGTTACTAGTAGCGATGCTTCAGATGCTAATGGCGCTTCTTTGCAGGACATGACTTGCAGCTTGATAGGGAATATCTCCAAGCGCTTCAATGAGGACATGCAACAATGCAGAGCAACATGTGATTTTGCACCGAGACACATCATGAAGATATTGATGTGACTCTTGCAGGACTCACTCACTAATCTAAACATTGCAGCCGCAACAGTGAGGCACGCACACATCAGTGAATTGGCCCAATGGACGGTGAGTTGCTGGTAAATAAGGTTCCGGTCATGCTTGCAATGACTTGTTCAGCTCCAGGCTTCAATTTTTGGAGCTAAGCACAATGGCATCCCCAAATGGTCAAAACCAGTATGCCCAGAACTGTGAGTGCATGCAGGGCCATGGCGAACAGATCTATGACATTGGAAATGCTGTTGAAGTTCTTCAAGGACACTTGATGCGTGCCTCCTGTTTTTGTTTGGGTGTTGTCCTGGTAGTGAGTGCTCTCGCCCTCCCTCTCCTCCCCCCTCCCTCCCTCCCCTCCCCCCTGAGGGGTAAGTTCCCCCAGAAGTGGCAGTTGGATAACTGGACCTGATCGAAACACCAAGTGAAGTCACACCAGTGCGTTTGGTGTGCGAGCGGCAGCGATGCACACCTTTTCTATGGCTGTGGATGCAGGTATTGGGCTACGAAGTCTTGAGCCAAATGAATTAAGTCGAAAGCGGACTGAAGAGCTACATACTAGTCTATGTACAAGAACAGGTGCTACACACGTATAGCGTAGACACGCCTAGGGGGACCTAGGACCCTACTAAACACAAAACAGAGACAAGTTTTCTTCGTGTCGAAGCTTACGATCGCTAAAGTACAAAAGGTTCGCAAAAAGATGCAAGTGAATTACAAAAGTTCTGTCTTCGCAGAACTAGACCGTAGATGCCATTCTGGCTCATCTAGGTTGCGTCAGATAATTTCTACAAATCTACGAAAGGCATACTTGTTGCATCGAACGTTCCGGAATGTCGGAAAATGTCTTTTTCAAGTCAAATCATCAAGTTAAAGTCAAATCTATAAGGCCTTTAGTTTAGATATATCTGGGTCCCTTAAACTGCATTTAGCTTTGTGGCATTTAACCGTAGTCGGCCGGAATATCGGCTTTTCAAAGACTACTGCCTTGGCTGAGCTCTAGCCGGCATATCGGCTTCTTAGAGCAGAGACTACCTACCAGTCCCTGTAGCCTCGGTAACCGGTGTTCCAAGATGAAGAAGATGAACCGGTATACCACCATGAGCTTGACGCTCCCGAGGACCAGGGCTGGTGCCAGCCAGCTTGGCGAGCTTGTTTATTCTGCCGAGATCGTTCCTTCAACATTTCAAGTCGCTCGGCATTCTTCTCGCCACGTTTCTCGGCGGATTGCTGGCCACGAACTCTGATCTTGTGTCGGCTGGCAAGTGCTGAAATGGATGGTGGTAACCCAAATCGCTGCTCTTCAGACACAGATCAAGATGGTTCAAGTGCTTGAGGAGTTCGTTGACCTTAATGGTAGTCTCTTTCTGGCGTGGAGGCTCCTCATATCCGACACGTCCACGATCATCCGGAATATCGGATGTCCTTGACCGCAACGTATGCATGTCCTTGCCGTAATTTAAGGCGATCTGCAACAGGCAGTCGCAATCGGCATCCAGACCTTCCAAAGCGGCGAGCTGCTCGCTGGCGAGGGTTGAGACCTCCCAGTTATAGGTGATGCGCTTGCTCGGCTCACGCTTCTTGTTCACAGAAACAAGGATCTGGTCAAGGATTGTGAGGACTGCTCCGGTTCCTGGATCGGCATGTCGATCGCCCCGGAAGTTGCGGTTCGTGAACTGGTTAGCATCGCACGCGATGACGTCCACCTGGTCTGCCACAGCCGTGATCAAAATCTTCATGATGGCGTTCTTACCGGCCGTAATACCTGACTGAAAGGCATGGGCATTGATGTGAAAAGCGCAAACTCGAAGTTCAGGCATATGCATGCGCTTGCAGTCATTCAGGCTCCCGGTCCGGAATGTCGGACACTCGTGGAACAATGCCTCTGCATCCACTGGTTCGGCTTCAGTGTAAGTGGTGGATGCCTGTGCTACAGCTAAGGTGTCAGGGCAGACTGTTACCTCCATGTTATCTGCTGGATCAGCACCTTCTTCAAGGGCAACTCGGAGGTTCTTTCGGACGCCGCGGTCATCGGTGATGCCTCCATCTGTGGCTTCTTCGACCTTTCCCCAGATCACGCGGAATGTCGCGGCATGGGCTACCCAGGCTAAGCGTTCGCCTTCAAGCTCAATCCGGCGGATGAGTTCCAGCCTCGAAGTGCCAAGTGGATCACTGGAACAAATTGCTGCGATAGCAGGAGATGATTCTCCATCCGCCAGTGCCAACACGCTCAAGCATTTATATTGGTTAAAGAGCTCTCGATGACGCTCGATGCCGTTGGCTGGCTTCAAGAAGGATTGTGATATGAGCTGTGTTCCTGACAAGGTAGTGCGGAAGCACAGCGTATTGATCGGTCTCAGCGAGCTCCCTGGATAGTGGCTGCCTGCCGTTGAAGTGAGGTGTACGGTTGATATCGCCGAAGTTGAGGAGCAGGACACTGACGTGTTCAGTCGATCGGAGAAGTCGTGCTTCATCGAGATCAAAGTCTCCCTGGTTCGCGCGATATCCCTGCATGTACGAACGGCCTAGCTCGACAATCTGTCGCATCTCCGCGCCGGTATATCGGCGATTGGAGTCGTAAAAGCAGCTTGGCCGAATGATTGGGTATGGTGCCACATCGGACTGTTCGTCCCAGTGCTGAGCAATCGAGGGAATGGAACGGCTCCTGTAGGTTGGATGGTTCGTGTAATGGTACTTGCTGACTCCTTCAAGGACAATTCGATCCATCGCTGCATAACCTGTTGAGCCGCCACCGAGAACAAGATCTTTGATTTCTTGCAGACGGTGCAATCGACCGGCGTACCGGTCGTCCGGGTGCCAACCCTCGGATTCGGCTGCGAAGGGAATCGTGAAATCAATTTCTGCTGTGACCTCTTCGCGCTCGTGCTCACCCAGCGGTGCCGGAATATCGGCGTCTGGGACTGTCGAACAGAGATAAATGCTGTTACATGAGCAATGGTTGCTGACATCATGATAGCAGTCAAGGCATGTTCCATGACTACATGCTCTGCAGAAGAAAAGTACGTCAGCGCTGGAACAGACAAGGCACGTCATCTTCTCTGGACGGTGGAAATTACTTTGTTGGAGTACTCTGTGCCTTTCTGGCGTCGCTGATGACCTCCCTTGCTCGGGAGGTCGCACGCTTCTTGGGCCTTGGCTCGATGTACTGCGTTTCCGGAATATCGGAAAACGAAACCCTGTGGCCGGATGGCGTGCGGGTCATTCCCGGTGCTCGGTCAGCCTTCTTAAGGACAGTGCGAGTTGGCGCGCGTGACCTTGCTCGGGAGGACCAGACCCTTGTACCTGACTTTTCTTCTTTCTTAACTGCTGTTGAAGCTGAGGCTGCTGCTGAAGAATCGTCCGGCGTATCGGACTCTTCCTTCTTCACAGTGCCTTTCTTGACCCAGGTTCCTTTCTGGCGTGCTTCTGCGAGATCGTCCACCATGGCTGCATCTAATGTACTTACGACCTGAACATCATCATCTTCGTCGTCTGCCGGAATGTCGGCATCGACTTCCATGTCGTCATCATCATCGACATCAATCAGGTCATCTCCCGACTCTTCCTCAGTCGTTTCCGACAATGAGCGTTTCTTGAGACGACGCATGTTGGTGGCTTGGTCCTTCCAGTCGTCGTCGAGGGAGAGAAAATTCAGCCATGTCTCAGTATGGATCTTGGACGCGCCGTGGAGCTGATGGCGATCAAGTTTCTCCTCGGCCTCATTGCGCCATGCCTCGATCTCGCGAATCTTAATATTCTTAAATGCAAGCCTCCTGGTCTCAATCTTAAACTTATCGTGGCCTTTTCCTACCAGCCTCAGTACCCCGCAATAGAACTGAGAATAAAAACGCAAGTACGGCTCATCGGGGACTGACATGGCTGGAGTGGTATCTGACACACAGCAATTGTTCCGGACGTCCCATGCAAGGCTGAAAAGACCGGCCGGAATAACGGCCTTGGTCAAAAAGTATCCATTCTTGCTCAGGCTGAAGCCTTCTGCGAGCTCGGGATGCTTTTCCAGCGTTGCCTTAGACAAGACGAGTACCACATTGGCCGTTGGTCGAATGTGTTCATGAGAGACCAAAAGTCCGTCGATCGTCAAAAAGTGGTTCATGTTATGTTGCTTACTGCCGGCTGCATTGCCGCCTCCAGGAAGGAGGCCATACTGCAGAATCGAACGGATGTGGCGGTACTCTGTCATGTGAACCAGCGTGTCCGGCATATCGGAAAGCTGGCAGTTCTCAATCTTTAGGCCTGCAGTCGGAGCTGGTGCTTCTCCTGAATGACCAGAAACAGCTTGCACAAAAACATGAGCGGCCCTGAATTGCTTATATAACTGGGCAAGCTCCTTGCGATCCTCGGCCGTCATACCGGCTGGATGGATCCATTGAGAAGGGTTACAAACCTTTCACCCTTCTGATGATCGGAAGTGCTCAGAATGCCAACCTGGTACCTGCCTTTCTGATTATACATAATGGTGATGGCAAGCGGTAGCAGCAGGTTTATGCGCTCGACAGAGGCTTCACACCATGGCTGAATCTGAGCCTTTTGCGCAGCCGGGAAGGCAAGGTCTTCCTTGGCATGGCAGGTGTGAGCCCAAACGGAGAGCAACTTCCTAAAACGAGCCCCGGCCATTAGCTCAAAAACGGTGAGCGACTGATCGGCATGTGTCCATCCGGAATGTCGGAGGATCCAGCCTAGCTCACGAGAGATCTTTTCGTAGATCTCGCTCTCGTAAATCCTGGTCAGGGCTTCTTCGCTGAACATGAAAAAGCCAGACCAAATCACCCACAGGCAGTAGACGAAAGCTGAGCTAACACCGTACTCGGGGCGTTCGAATGCAGAGTCCATTGCGCTAGGGCGAGGGCCGGCGTCACGAGAAGTACCCTTGCTTTTGCCCTTGCCTTGGCCGGAATGTCGGCCTTCGGCTTCGCGCGACTCTGGACGCTTTCCCTTCCCGCCGGAATGTCGGCGATCGGAAGGCTGGCTTGGTCCACGGCTCGATGTGCCACGTGGACCAGCTTCGTGGATTTCATCAATCTGCGTTACAATAGGTCGGCCTCCTTTGACCACTGTGTGGAGGCGATACCCCTTGAGGCTTGATTGCGTTAGATTGGCCTGTGTTGGACGAATGCTCTCACGGGGTGTCAATTCAACTGCTGGCGCGCGCTCTTCACGGGATGGCGAGCGCTTGCCTTTTCCTCTGCCTTTCGATTGGTCCTGGCCGGAATGTCGGCCGGTACCTTTACTACGTGCAGCATCAGGC